TTACCGTTCGACCGCCTCGCATTTAACATTTCACTTTAGAAAGAAATCATTTGTACATCCAGAATGCAAACTGTTTTAGTACAGTGACCTTCCTCAGGCCTTTACAGATGCACCAATAACATGTGTGGGAACTAAATCTTAGTTCTCTTTACTCATCAGCTATTCTCCTCCTGCAAAGATCACTTCTCTTGTTTGGCTGCAAACTCCTCCTTAATTTGAATTTAATTTCAGTTAAAGGGGTTATTAAAGGGGGAGCTTTTGGTTTGAGCTTTGGTTTGTCCTCATCATCCTTGATATGAGATTACCTTTTGATATTTACAGCCGTGTGCTTGGAGCACATATTCAAAACTGACTCAAAGACACCAGCACAGCACATAAAGACAATTATGAGAATCAGAGTTCCTCAATATGCAGAATACGGAGAACACATTGCATGTGCTCAAACGCTGTTAACACCAAGCGCTGCCTGGTATGAGGTATGACAGGTATCTATGTGTTATCCTGTATTCTTAGTATTGCGATACTGCCAACTTCTTAATATGATTTCACAGAATAATTAATTGCCGAGGGACAGAAGCTGATGTTTAAGTAACTGACAAAAGCTTTTGCCATTATCATGCTTTGAAAATCACTGCATATGTATATTTGTTGCAGGCCAGTGGAAGCAGTGTTGTGATCAACTCATGAAGATTAAAACGCAGAGCTCCAAGAAAGTCATTCCAGTGAAGCAAGGATCGCTATACCATGAAATAGGTAGTGTGACACAAACAGACACACTGCAATTCCAGTCCTTCGTTTGTTTCCATTCATTTTATTAATGTATTAAAATCTATTAGCAGACTCTGGAATCCTTCATTGTAATTCCAATATTCCCATTACTTTAAATACTGTTTTGCCCACCAGGGAAATATCTGTCTGTTAAGCTGCTAAATGCTCCGCTATGTTCACCAGGTAGTCACTGACTTTGTCCGTCTGCTGTTTGTCTCTGGGCAGGTAGTAAACTGTGGATTTGTGGAGTTGCCAAAAACTAAACTGATGAAAGCAGTGAGAGTGAACCAAAACAGCAAAGTTGCAGGCGTTAACATGATGACATGAAATACATTAGTTCCATCGAGCTGGGAAGGAATTGCAGAATTGAGTGATCTGTCACAGGGAGCGGTCACTTTCACATACATGCAGTCATGTGATCCATTGTTAATGGCAAGTTCGATTAGTCTGACAATTCATTTCCATATCACGCGGAAAAGAAAGGAAACGAATGGCTGCCTCGGACATCAGGGAAAATGTGCCACGACTTGAAGCTAATGAGCTAAAACTTGCACTCTGTTCATATCCATAAATAAATCAGATCGCCATCGCCAACTAAATCTGTCTCTCCGTTTTCAACAATAAATAGACACATGGAATGCAATGCCTTATTTGCACACCTTGCGCCCTCTTCTGCAGAAAGTTGGAGAGGCGCCAGGCCTAAAAGCAGACAAGCGGGTTTGAGTAAATAGCGAGATCGAAAAGATAAATAATGCTGCCCAAAACAAAGACCTGACATAATGAGGCAGACACTCTGGGAGTGAATAGGGCATTGTTGCCACCAACTGCTGACAAAAACATCACGTCATGTAGATCGGAGCAACCGACGTAGGTAAATGTTGATTTATTAAGACAGGCTGCAAGAAAGAAAGTAAAAGAAGTTTCCCTTTATCAACCACAAAAACACGTTTCCAGTCAAAAAGGGAGGTGTTTAAAACATTTGACCTCTATTTTTATATCTTTAAAATGGAAAATGTACTTTTCTTTCTTCCTCGTCTCTTTCAGTAACACCTTCCTCTCCCGGAGAGGGTCTTGTGGTGCCGGATTTATCTGTTGAGATCCGCACTTTGCTCTCTTCCTACTACAAGGAAAGGTAGGCTCTCCTGCCACAGCAGACACTCCCTCTGCCGTTCACATTTTTACCTCGGTATGAATGTAAGAATGTAAGAATGGCAAAGCCTCCAAAGTTACAAATGTAAGTCTGCACTTAATGCACCTGTGTGTCAGACGCCACAGATGTTCGGGAGTGTGGTGGTTTGTGTGCAGAGATTGGTCAAGATGTCCAGGAGAACTGGTTGTACAAGAGATCCTGATAGTTGATGTATGCTAAGCAACAAGCTAAGAAGATGACACGTATTTTACACCGCTGGCTTTGTGTAACTTTGAGTGCCTCGAGTGTGTGTGAGTGTGTTTTCCTTCAGTATTCTAGTAATGAGTGAGGCGTCTCTCTCTGTCGTACTGTATATGCAGTTGTTAGACACCACTTAGATGGTGGTAAGATTGCCAGGCTGTTGATGGAGATGTACAAGTACATGTTTATATCACAAGTACAAGTATTGAGTTGTTTATGATCAGTTTTGAGATTACAAGCAGCCTAATCATGTTACATGAAGCTATTAAACCGTGGTGTAAAAACGCTACTTAATTAGGCACTGTACTGTTGTAAATCAATGTGATTCGTCAAACAATTAAGCAAACACTCAAAAACAAATGTAAAAGGTGAGATACACTTCCTCCTGCCCAGAAGTCAGGGCAGGTCACCAGTACCATGACAACTGTGTCAAAGTGATCAGACAAAAGAAATTCTGGGAAAGTACAACATCCTCATACCAACCACTGCCCAGATGAGGGATTGATAACCTCAGAGCTCAAACTGTGGTTTTAACAGATATGCATCATTTCAACTGTCACACCTGACAATGTGTTGTGTGCTTGTCTTTACAGACTGGAATGGTAATTTAGGCGTGTGTGTGATACTGTGAGAAACACATTCACATTTTGATATACCTGCTTTGCTTGTATTACATATACTGAAACAGACTGGAACTGATAAAGTACAATTTTTTGTTTGTTTTAACATTGTACTCCAGTTTTCTGTGTTTCTCTCTTTCTACAGTTATTGATGAGCCTTCCACAGTGGCAGCGGAGGAGTGAGACACCGTTCTGATATCATTCATTTGCAGTCAAGGAAACGGACATGGGCATGAAAAACGGTGCCATTTCAAAATGTGCAGGGAACAAACGTACTGTTTGGATCAGATATTAAATTCTGTACCATCGTTTAGCGATGTAGTCTTTTGTTAATGTAAAGAGAGACCAGTACACGTACTAAGTGGTCTCCTAAAAATGATTCTGTTGACCCTTAATCAGTTTGGAACAAAACAATCTGAGATGATTGAACAGTCATGCAGGGGCAAGCAGGAAGCACATGTCTCTATAAAGACTTTGTTTTCAACTATGATCAATTAAACTGTTGTCTTCTTTAATAAACAGGCTTGCGTATTGAACCTACAGAAGCTGTTTGGCATGCTTGCACCTCTCAGCTGAGTCATGCACCCTTCTCACGATGGAGGTTGACCATCTTATGGCCACGCCTCCTGGAAGCCTGACACACAGATACCTCTTATAAAACTCAAACACTTGCGCTCCGGTTCTGGTTCAGTCCAATAGTTCAGTAAATCAGGGGTATTCCGTATTGACTGATTCCAAAAAGCAAATCAATAAATGAAGTCCTATATGCTACAATTTCAGTTGTGGTTCAAAACTGTTCTAAGGTCAGTTGTCTTGTGTGGTTCAAATTACTAAAGTGCTGCAGAAATGTTCAGAGAATTATTCCCAGTGCAAGTAATAGTATTTTTAACTTGAGTCAGTAAGTCTGGTGTCTAAGGATGTTAATAAATGTTCTCATACAGTACCTCAAGTAACCTCAAGTTTCTAAGTGCATGAATTCCAATGGTATACTACGCCTATGGCTGTTCTCCTTTTAACTTGACAATATTTGCATATTGCTAAACCCCTAAGGGCTTTGTAGGCATACATCAAGGCATGATGCTTATTAAACTCAGTAAACTCTTCTGACTTGTAGAACTAAAAAGCTCTTGGCAAAGTGTACCTCAGTGTTCCTTTTGATAACCAAGTAGCACCAGAAATTGACTCCCCCCCCCCTCAAAGAGGCCTCTGAGTTAAGCAATAACCTGCTGTGAAACAACGATATAAAATACTTGCCTGAGCAGGTTCACACTAGAATCTTTTTCTAGCTCTTTGGCACCTCAGTGATATATTTAAAGCGATAAAGAGCAGGTAAACAGGGGAGGGAAAAACACAACAACTAGCAAAATGGAATAAGCTTGTAAAGTTGTGACTAGTTCAACATGGCTCTCCTTGTTAACATTCCAATCAAATGCCAATAAGTCCTAATCCTTTTAACAGGACTCTCGTGATGAGAAAATTGCACGCAATAATCATTGACTATAGATACAATGAAGGGAGTGTCAGTTTCTACACTGGAAGATGCCATATTACGTATTGGATTAAAAATAATAATGTAGCAATAAAAATAAAACAATAGGCTGTTTGTCACACCTGTATGTGCATACAGGTGTGACAAACAATACAAAGAAAGCTTAGTAAGGCACAATTGAGTTCTCCTCTATTGACGTCACTGTTTATCTGTTTTTTTTTTACTCTTACTGTAAATGTTTGTTAATGAAATAGTTATAAAGACCAAAGTTAACAATTTTAAGATTTGAATATAAAAGCTTCGAAGCAAAGTTTATCCCTGTTTATTAAACAAGGAGAGAAAAGAACATCCGAATGCTCTCCTCCCACAGAAAAGAAAATATTTACCATGCATTTTAATGCACACAGGAAGCAACGTGTTTGTTTGTTTGTTTACCGGACATTGAAGGAACACGTAACCTTTATATATTTAATGACGGAGGCGGGCAAACCTCCTCCCAAAGAAAGCTTGAGGCCACTACCTCTGCACAAGATGTAATTAGTCTTTTCTATGAAGTCATACAAGTGCAGTAATTAATGGCGTTTGCACTTAATACGCCTCTTCCATATCATGTAACTCTTAAAGGGGAAAGGGGTTTGATTGGATGTGTGTAAAAACACCTCGTGTGACGTGAAGACAACAGGATCAAACAATCAACAAATGAGCCATGAAATTTCAGTTTTATATATTTGAATTTATTTTAATTTACATAATAAAAAAAAAGTAATGTATTATATAACATTCAATACAGAAAACAGTTTTCTGCTCCTGATGGGAAATTATAATTATTCATAAGATTATACATATTTGCTTATTTCACACTTTTAGAGACAACTCAATGCTATTATATAACTTCAGTAAGATGCAGTACATACAAAGAGCAATGTAACGTGGGTAAGCTTTAAAGTGGTGCTGGAGTGTCACTATCTGAACTGATCTTCACAAGGAGCTCGAGATCATTTTCCTCAGCTTCATCACTTCCTCGGTGGTGAGCTGCGACAGAGAAGTGGAGCTGGAATTCAACATAAGCCCAGCCGAGGGACCCATGTCTGACCCCCCCTTCCCTCCTGGGACTGTGTCTTCATAGGACGTTGAGGCTGCAATGTCTTCCTGAGCTGTGCAGGGAATAGAGTCAATGTTCACTGGGATGGGGGAGGCCTGGGTCTCTTTGGCATATGTGTCCCAGAAATAAAGGGGTTTGGAGATTAATGATTTATTAATCTCAAATGGATAGACATCTTGGCTGGCTGCACTTTTCAGAATACCGCCTGAAGGCAAAGGCTTGTAGGTGGTGAAAGTATTTTGGCTCGCATTGTGGGGTTTACCAGTAGTGTGGGTGGTTGGTATGGGGCTTGGCAAATTCCTTCGCGTCAGCCTCAGGTCCTCTGCAGAACTCTGGTGTTGGGGATTCATGTGAAATGTCAGGTTGGTGGGGAGGAAGTCTGTGTCCTCCCGCGGAGGAAGAGTAGGTAGCTGCTTCGCTCCAAGCATCGCGGCTGAAGACCCACACTGCCGGAGCCAGTTACGAAAGACAGACAGCGGTACCTCAATTTCCATCTTGCCTCCGTTCTGCTGAGAGAAGCTGGGCAGAAGGTGACTGAAGTTGAGCTCCCTTACTTCTGGACTCCCCTCTCTTTCTTCTTTTGCCCAGATACTGTGTGTTTCTCTTTTTGGAGAGCTGGGTTTTTGTGGCATTGTGGTGGCGCCTACGTCTGTTCTCAGTGTCGGAGCAGAGTCATATGACGGGCTGCTTGAGGCTGCTGGAGTTATGGCTTTGACGTCGACGGCATACGCCTCACTAGCTTTCACAAGATGCAAATATGACTTGTCTCCTAAACCTGCTTCGCCATCTTGTGTCTCACACCCATCATGTCTCACCACCTGCGGATGATGAGGAGTGTACAGAGGGGAGGGTTTGTTCAGAAACTTTGGGCTCTTGCTGGATGAAGTCGGGGTGAACGATGAGGCGGGGATGCTGTTGGCTTCCCGCCGTGATGCATTGATGCTGAGGTTCCAAGGCTCAGTCAATCCAGGCTCAGTCAATCCAGGCTCAGTCAATCCAGATGTGGTCTTGTACTGTTCTGCTAGGTAGCGCAACTGCTCCAGCGGCTCCTTTGCCCTGTCTGTTGGGTTTAGATGAGATGGAGGGAAAGACAACCATGGTTTGGGGGCAGGGGGGCTATAGGAGGGGATAGGGACATGGGGGGGCAGAACTGCGTGGGTGGGGTGAAAGTGGCGAGCATAGTAGGGCGTCACAGGGAAGACAGTCTCTTGTAGGTCTGATCGGAGGTTGTGTTGGTTCTGTTGGAAAGATAAATGGTCAGTCAGTAGTTGAAGGTATAGTTGGGAATATTTAGGAAATATCCTTGTTCACCTTCTTTGTTCGATGAAGACGAGAGTAGGATGAGAAGATACCACTCTTTGTATGCTAAATATGAAACTACAACCAGCAGGCACTTAGCTTAGCATAAAAACTGGCACTCGAAAAACGGCTTGCCAGGTCTCCTTCCAAAGATAACTAAATCTGCCCTCCAGCACCTCTAAAGCTCACTAGTGATAATATTACATTTTACAAAACCCACATTTTATAAACTACAAGTTGTTGGCTTGAGGGGGGTTAGTGCTGGAATATTTTTTGACTGGGAGCAGTGGAGACTAAAGGAAGTTAAATTGTCATCTTTATAATCGTACGGATTAAACAAAACAGGATTATTGTGTTATTAGTCAACTTCAGAGGTGCTGGTTCGCAGATCCGTTCCCTTTGAGAACCTAGTTGTTTCACCCCATCCTCTGTCTTAATGCTAAGCTAGGCTAATCCGATGCTGGCTTCAGCTACATATTTATCGAATAAGCATATTTTCCAGCATGCCAAACTTTTGCTTTAAAGAAAAAGCTTTAACTAAACCACTTAGTTAGGTTTATGAAAAACATCATGGTTGAGCTTAAAATAAGTACGGACACTTAGCTGAACTTCAAGTTGCATCTGAATCATAAATAATACCAACCTGGTGCAGAGGCATCGATACCAGTTTGCGTTTCAGTGGCCGCTGCCCGTCGTCCTGCTCTTTGCTGTAGTTGGCAAAGTGGAAGTGCTTCGGCTGATTGCGAGGCAACACGTTCACCAATATGCCTGTTAGGTGGCATTCGTATGGCAGCAGTAGCCTGGCACAAATCAAACGTGGATCAGATTAATACTTTGAGAAAACATGCCACTCACTCTCAGCCTGACAGATGCACACGCATCGGTTAACTCACTTCTCGTAGTGTCTGCGGGTGCAGGTGGCTGCACTTGTGCTTCGAGGGTTTCCTCCGAGTGTGTTGTACACTTGTTTCCACAGCTGCTGGGAAGTCACCTGGAAGAGTGCAGGGCAATTTAGTGTTGTGATTTAATAATTAACAATACTATTATAAGCAGTATTAGAGAGTATTAATTGGTATTAGTTAATGACTAAATGAAAATAATTTTTAAAATTAATAAACTTTTACTGTGATAATATTAACAATACTACTAATAATAATTCAATTGGAAATATAGGATTACCTGGTGGTAGCCACCGAAGTCTTTGACAATCTTGAACATCACATATAGATCAACTGAAAAAAGAAGGAAAGATACACACAAAACTTAATACACGTCATTATTAGAATGTAGGGCTTTTAGAATTGCAACAGTTAATATGCAGGTTATATTCTTAATTGGTTTGTTTGTTCTGTAAAATATCAGAATATAGTGATTGAGTGCAAGGTGACGTCCTTAGTCAGTACACCCGAAGATATTTAATTTACAACAACAGCAATTTAGCTCGAATAAATGTAATTTTTGCTTTAAAACATTACTTTTATCTCATTAAACGGTTGATAGATTTTAACAGGTTTGGATTTTACGTCAATCAGCGAAACAATCATTTGACTAATCATTTAAAATCTGAGTTATTAGAATCAAAATTAGAATCAGTAATTTATATCCATAGGCAAATACATAATATATAATCATTATACCATATCATTATAATGTTGAATTAATAGAGGACTTTGTTTGGTGCATTAAACAAGTGAAATGCATTAAAAAACAACAACAACTTGCATCTCAAAATCTGATCAAATGAACAATATAATAAGTACTTTGTTTGAAGCCCAGATTTGGGATTCTCTCGACGGGTGTATCTCTCTTCTTCATGAACGTGTAGAGGTCTTTGAGGAACTGTTCCTCTGTCATCTCCTCCACGGGCTTTCTGGTTCTCTCCTGTAGGATCTCTGCCTGTGCCATTTCCCTGTGTGTCTGAGAACACAAGCAAAACACAAAATATGATCTTCTGTTTGCACCGACCTAACATTCTCCGTTGACAATGCCTTTCTGTTTCGATGTTACATCACCTTGACTGATGATTGATAAACGCGCCCCGTTTTTTGACCATATATCAATCAAAGTGTTACCCCGTGTTTGTACAGTAGAGTCCTCCCCGTCCCTTGAGACAACACACCATTAATATAAAACTCAAACATGGCATCAATGCCCTCTTTCATTCCTTAGTTTCCATTGTTAAGTAAAACTGTTAGGGCTTACTGACCTGTCAGTACACGTTTGCTCACACTTAGAATATCTGTCCCATTCAAAATACAACACAGCTTTTTCCGAATTTAGTTCAGAATCTTTACTTTCATTTAGTTATTGTTTTTTTTTAATCATTTACGATAATTACATTAGTATCGTCATGTTCATGTTTTTTAAACATGTGGATATAATGTTGTGAATATGGACATTATTTATAATTATTTATACTTTTTTGCAGAATAAGAGTAAGAAGAGCGTATTAAATGCATGTCAACCTGAAAATGAAAATACAAGGCCATATATATCTTGGCACCAAAATTCTTTATTCTAATACTTGCAAAAGTATCAATTGAATAAAATCATAAAGCAGATACATTCTGGATTCTATCTGAAATATTGTTCCTCACCTGTGTTTCCATTAGGGGATACACGTGGATCATATTATTGCATTGCCCTGATGATCAGATAACAAGCTATTATAGCTTACAGCCTGATGTTCCCTCCGCTGTGGTAAAAGAGAGCAGAAATCACTGCAGCCAGTGCGTAATGTCACACCACGCCAGTCGCACACCAGTCCCTAGTATCTGTGTGACAATGTGGGTGACTGGCTGAGGAGGTGTTTACTCCAACGTCTTCCTGCTGAACTTGCTATCGGCAGACCAGTTCAACCTGTTCTCGAGCACGTTTCCAAAAATGGTGCGCTGGATTATTCCACAGAAATTTGCAGGATTTTGAAGAAATATGTGGGTTCATAATACTCAGGTGGCACAGAGTTTTGTTCAAATGAGTCAAGTATGAATATTTATTGCTTTACAACCACTATAAGACAACTCAGAACCCCTAAAATGCATGAGACGCTACTTATCATTACCAAATGAGTATAGGAATAACTAAAATATCAATAAATACATTATTTTACTACAGAAAACACTACAGCAGTGTCACTGTGGGTGTTCAATTCAGCATTGTAAAGTTGCGTGCATTATAATATTGCATTATAATCTCAACATATACTTTTTTAGCATGTATGTTGAACACTGGCAACATAATTAGCCATGTAGTTATCAATGTGGAAACAGGAAATGTGAGATTTTAATGGCTGTCTAATTGTACAAAGTGGTCGGGGACGCATTGCGTAAGGGTGATGTGTCTTTACCGTTTGAATGCAACCAATTGTTACGTGGGTTTTCAGGTATCTATTTATATATAATTGCGTTAACCTTCAGTGTCCTGTTTTATTGGCATAATTGGGCAAACCCAAAATCGCATCATCGCCATGTCTTTTGTGTAACATTCATAAAACAAAAAGTTTTTTTTCTTTTAAAGAAATGTTGGCCATCAGTCGGCTATAACATTGAATTACCCAATTAAATAAAAAGTAGTCCAACTAGGTGATAAACTGCCATCTGTCCACACTGTCGGTACACATTCTGATTAAATTATAAACGCACGAGGGTGTTGCCTTAGATAATGAATAAGAAGAGACAGAAACTATAATTATTGTTGATTGACGATTGTGCTCTCCCATCTCAGAATAACTTCTTGGGTTTCAGCAGCAGTAGGACATTTGTCTGCGACGTTGTTCAGGTTTAGGGTGTTTTTTTGGGTGTGGCACTACCCATATCAGAACACAGCATATGATAGAACCATGAGCTCATTGTTTATCAACAATAAGAATGTAGAAACCTGACATATTTATCAGGAGAAAGATTGCTGATGTTGGACGTTAATCCTCTGAAGCTCTAGATTCCTGCAATTCTATGTTGTGAATCACCCTGCGGTGTTGAGGTACATGATGAAACAGCATCGACACATTTACTTCTCTGTATTTGACCCAATATTTAGTAGGAGTGAGAGTAAGTTACTGACGTAAAGAGGTCAGCCAGCTAAAGAGAGAAAACAGGAACGGATTCCAACCAAACACAAATAGTGTTGAAGTAGAGAAAAGAAGGATTCACAAAAAGATCCGGACACACTGCACACACTGCACAGGGAGGCGTAGCTCGAATGTAGCCAGTTTACAAGGCCCCTCCCTGTATGTTCCATTAAGTTTGTTCATATTGATAATGACTCAAATATGACTCAAGGTGTTTTTTTTACCTACCGTCTGACAGACAAGCTTAACGGTGAAACGGATGAAATGGAAGTCAGAGCGTCTTTAGCTTCTGCATTGTGGCCACAATGAATCGGAATAGTAGAGGGGTATACAGTTACAAGAAAAAAACATTGTCTATTGATTTTTGCATGAAAATACAACTGTGTCATCCGAGCATTTAAAAAAAAAAAGTTTGAAGGTATATATTTCCTTTTATACAAAGACAACCAGAGCTGAGGAGGATTAGCATGACTTTCATAGGTCCGCCGTACCAGTTTACAAGAGGGATTGAAATCAAATCCTTGCATCCTCGTATTTGATTGGACCGCTAACATTTGGCGGGCTTAGAGTTAAGCGATAAAGAGCAAAAGAGGACAGTTGGTTCCGAGCATGTTCTCATGCAATGATGGCATTCAGGAACATTGACCTTGTTCCGTAAAAGAATGTTCACTGCTTTTTCGCCGCGTAATATTCACACTCTGTGTGATGACAAAAGCAACCGTTTAAAAACAAAACAACCCTGGTGTGCAAAGCCCTGAAGAATATATGAAGGATTAAAGGACTTACAGCTCGGCCGCATCTGTAAAAACTTCTCCATGCATTTATTATCAGTACACCCGACTACGGTTACGCTGTCTTTACTCCCTAAAGAAACTTTTAGACAGCTGCACCTAAATCAAAACAAGAAAGTTCCACTTCAGTTTGTAAACATGGAGAAACAGCGTTCAGGTTTTATGAATCATATATTTGGAAGAAACTCCCTCTCTTTTAAATAAGGTTGGAGACTTTCCTGTAAAGCAAATAATTCATTTCTTACACGGCACTGACACTTCTTATTCTTGTGTATTGTATATCTGTTTCAGCTTGTTTTTATGATCTCTTGGCACTTTAATGTCCGATCTATTATGTGGTTCTTTTGCATTTCGTCTCGATGTAAGATACTTTGAATTGCCTCTTTACTGAAATGTGCTTGTTACGTGTGGCCCTGCATGTCCTGTACCTTGTCTTTAGTCTTTAGTTCTCCCCCCCCCCGATCTCTTTTGCTGGTGCTCTCCCTCCCCCCTTACCTTCTTTTGTAGGAGTGGAGCACCTGAAATCAATCAATCATTAGAGAGAAGAAGGACTGGAGGAGTCCTGTGTGGCAGAGAAACAGAGGTCAACCAGCTGACAGCACAGTTCTCCCAGAATGTTTCCCCCCAGCATGGGTTAAAGTGTTGGGTTTTTGCAACTTTAGCTTGTTACTTTGGTTTGGGCTGGAGACCTCCAGTAGTGCAGGAATTGTTTTTTGTTTGGTTCAGTCTAAGCTGGGCTGGGTGCGACGGACTCTGTGGCTCAGTCGCTGTCCCATCTTTTGTTCTTTTTGGCTGGGATCTCCAACCATTTTGTTTGTTTGCTTTTAACTTTGAATATGGTTACTTAAAAAAAAAAAATTAAAAATAGGTTTCCCCTTGTACAGACCCTTTTACAGCCTAGATAGTTACTTTATTAATCCCATCATGTGATGTTCAGATGTCAAAACCTGGACAACTCCCAGACTAGACCTGTCAATCACAAGGTTGCTTGGCCCTAAAGCATACACTTTAATAATATTGCACTCTAAATGGACCATAATGTACTAAATGAACATCATGCTGTATTGAAGAAGACTTGAAACTAGAGATTGAGACCATAAACTCATGTTTACAATGTTTACTGAGGTAATAAATCAAGAGAGAAGTAGAGTCATTTTCTCATAGACTTCTACACAATCTCCCTGCTGGCCATTTGAAAGAATGCTGCGTCACAATTCTAAGCTTATTGACCAACCATGCGTTATTTGACACGTTTGTGTCAGAATGTGTTGAGTCCTTATAGCTGCGGCCATGGTTCAAATCCAACCCGCGGCCCTGTGCTGCATGATGTCCCTGCTCTCTCAATACAGTCTCAATCGGTCCTATCTAATAATAAGGCAACAAACATGATCGTAACACCACACCCAGAACGCACATTTTTAATCCAACACAAATGGCAGAGTCAAATGTGTGACTTGGAAAGTTCAGTGAGTGTATTTATAATTTGAGTATCTGAAAGCAGATCCACCCGGGGCTGTTCTGGAGATGAATATTAAACGTCCAGTTTAAAGATATATCTGACAGAAAGAACCTCAAATGCATGTTTGGATATCTAGATAGGACGCGTTTTGCTCGACAAAGGCTCATTGTGTTCGTTTTAAGATTTCTCTGCACACTAGTAGCCAGTCACGATTTAATGCAGCTTTAAAATGTATTGATTATAAACAGATTCAATCAAGCAGAACACCACAGTTTCTGTGCTGATAATATGCTAAAGGAAAGAATGGAAGAAGACTGTATGATGACATGTTTCAGAATCACATGGCAAACTTCTGCTAGGGACAATGCACAAAGAACAATATCTTGACATCTTCTCGATAAGACAGCTATGACAGAATCTTAAAAAACAGTTTAACGTTTCCTCAAATCATCCTCTTCAATTCTATAGAGTATAACAATGGCCTTACTTGTACTCCATGGTACTGTGCTGTAGCCACATTGCTGTGTGGAAACTAATGAGGTCAGTTCATGTTAGCGTTCATGACACACATGGCAAAGTGTTTTTTCACAATGCCGAATTGTTCTTAAGGTGCTGCGCAACTAAATTCTTTAAAAAATGGAAGGTTGTTTTAACAAATTGCTCTTCACTGAGCTAATCCCCTTCCATCATGGCTCCTGTGAGACATTACGTATTCGTATTCTAAAGGAATGAGAGCCTTCAGGTTTACTTCTTTTGGTCTGCCCGAGAGTAACACCTTCCTTTTCGCATCCCTTTTATTACGACTCTATTGTCTCGGATAACTTTAGAGGAATATTCAAAGCATTTTCATTTTTCAGTGTCACAACATATAATTCATGTACTGCACACATTCATCCATCAATGTCAAGCAGTAGATCACTTTAATTGATACAGGTTCAGCAGCAGGTGCGCTTGATGCGTTGAATAATAGTTGGCCCTGGAACTGACACGTCAATGTTACATAATTGCACCAGTGCCGTCCCTGTAATGACGCGTCTACGGGTCTGCAGTGAAAATAGGCCGGTTGCCATTTTGTAGACACGTGTGGTGCGGAAAAGACAAAACTAGAAGATTGCCATCCATAGTAGTACTTCATCGAAATGAAAAGGGATCAACATGTAATTGTGGGGCTGTGGAAGCAAATAAACACAGACCATGTAATAAGCAAATTGCTAATTGATTTGACCGACCTGAAATGATGCAATGACTGTAAACCATTTTTACCATATTTATTATCCCAAGCTCAGCAAATAAAATCTGTGTCTTCAATCTCAGGTTCACTATTTTTCAAGTCTGACTTCAAACACATCGTAATCTCATCCCCACTCGTCTCATTTCGCAGCTTGGGCAGAAGCCCCTGTCATCACTAAGGACACCAGGTGGAGTGTCATAGTTTGATGAGCTG